AAAAGTGGGCATACTTTAACTTCGTGCTGGTACGCCAACAGAACGAGAAAACCCCAAAATAAAATTAGGCAAGCTCAATCTGACGATATTACCGATAGGAATTTAAGAAAATATGTAACAGTGGATATTTTCAATAAGTCCATTTAATTTCAGCTTGACTCGGGTTCCGATCTTTCAACCATTAATTGGCATATTTGGCGAAAATTAAACAAGCCGACCTTATTTAAAACGGATAAAACAGCAAAATCCGTAACTGTCGAAAAGATTAACATTTTAGGTGAGATAATACTTAGAGTAACACTAAATGGAGTTACCAAAAAACTCAAAGCCTACGTATTGAAAACTTCAGTTAACTTATTTGGAACAGATTGGATAGAAAAATTCAATCTTTGGGATTGCCCAATTAGTACATTTTGTCGCAAGATACAAAGTACAACGTCCAATTTGGTAAATCTAAAAAAGGAATTCAAACAACAATTTCCCCAGGTTTTTTCTGGCGGCCTTGGGAAATGTACTAAAATGAAAGCTAAGTTCAAGGTGAAGGACGGTGCACAACCGGTATTCAAAAAGAAACGGAATGTCACTTTCGCTGCTCTAGAGCAAATCAACAAAGAGTTAGATAGACTCGAACAAGCAGGTATTCTGTCAAAACAGATTTCAGCGAGTGGGCAGCACCTACGGTCTACGTAAAAAAGAAGTCCAATCAAATACGAGTATGCGCAGATTTTTCCACAGGGTTAAACGACGCCTTGCAAGATCACCACTATCCTCTCCCAAGCCCTGAAGAAATTTTCAATAAACTCAATGGTGGAAATTTTTTTTCTAAAATTGACCTCTCGGACGCATACCTTCAGATAGAGGTGGAAAAAGAAAGTTCCAAATTGCTCTGCATAAACAAACATAGAGGGTTGTACAAATACAACAGACTGGCTTTTGGAGTAAAGGTTGCGCCTGCAATTTTCCAGCAGGTCATGGACGCCATGCTGGGCGACTTTGACTACGCAACAGCCTATTTGGATGATATACTGGTTACTAGTAAAACTACGACAGAGCACCGAAACCATATAATAAACGTATTTGAAAAGATACAAGAATACGGTTTTAAGGTTAAGGAGGCAAAGTGTGACTTCTTCTCACCAGATTTTAAATACTTAGGGCACATCATAAATAAAGACGGTCGTCGGCCGGATCCAGAAAGAGCCAACGCGATCAGAAACACGCCAGCCCCAGATAACGTTCAAGCGTTACAAAGCTTCGTCGGCCTAGCTAACTTTTACCAAGGGTTCATTAAGAACATGCAAAATTTGAGAGGGCCTCTCAACCAACTTTTAAAAAAGGATAAACCATGGTCATGGACACCGGAATGTCAAGACGCATTCGAGAAAATCAAGAAAACGCTTACTTCAGACCTCTCCCTCACCCATTACGACCCTAGTCTCGACATCATATTCGCAAGTGATGCAAGCTCGTACGGCATCAGTGCTTGCATTCTGCATAAACTGCCAGATGGTTCGCGAAAAGCTGTGGCTCACGCATCAAGATCTCTAGTTCGATCTCGACATGCCCCAAGTCTCTCCTGAAGTGCGACGCTCAGGAAGGAAAAGGAAATTTACTCAACCGCTCGACATAAATCCCAAGAGGAAAAAGTATTAACAGTTTTATTTTTTCTCTCCTTTTCAAAAAGAAAACTCTTGGAAGGGGGGGTTTTGTGAGACCAGAACTACCTACACAATAGACTCTTCCAGGTCTATATTAAGTATGCGACACAACACTCGAGAGACACAGAGAGACAGTGAGAGCCGCGTACGACTACCAGTATTGGACACTAACATATAGTAAGCTCCGCTTACACTGTCTCTGTAACCTGTTGTTAATATATCTTTCTTACTTCTAATCCGTGTTCCGTGTTTTCCTTCTGTGGTCCCGACTTTGGCCCCCATCAGTTATGAAGACTCAAATGAAAAAATGTTTGAAACTTACCACCAGATATAGTTTTTCTTATCAAAGAAGACTGAGTTTGTTACCTTATTAACGTTACTTGTTTGTTTATTACAGGATAGAACATTGACAACTATACAGACTTAAAGTCCCAAATCATGAGAATATAAAATTGTCGAAAGACAGATTGTACCTATCGTAATCGGAGCATTAGAGAATTCTTCACATTGCTTGAAAGCATTAGATTTATCAGTGAGTTTTTATGTGTTACAGAAGCCATTTTTCTTTTTTTGCTACAATAAGGACAATCCAAAAGTGACAGACTGCGGGATGTAGCTTGATATTCAGTAAGTGCAAAACCAGTTAATAATATTCAATAAGATGTGCAAAAATATAAATAAAATATGAATAATAATACATGTAAATTATTGATACTAGATGAGATTTCAAGAAATTCAAAAGTTTCAGTGCAGAAACGCAAGATTAAGCGGAAATATAAAATTAAAACAGTAAATTCCACCAATCAATGAAATACTTAAACAGAAACTGCAATTAAAGGGGCAAAGAAGACAATATGAAAGACATTGCATGTTCTATCGACAAAATAAGATATTCCAAATGAACTTCAAGAAGTTTTACAAGGAAATTGGAAAATTAGTTTATAGAAGTCAAAAAGCTACTATCTGTTGAAGAAGTGCAGAACTTTTGGAAGAATATTTGGAAAAGGAATATAATCCCAAGAATATTTCCCAAGGAATATAATCCCAATGCAGAGTAGATCAAACGAAAACAAGAAAGAACGACGGAAAAATCTGTTCAAGAGTGGAAAAAATATAACCAAGAATAATGTTAGGCAAGCTATAACAAAATCCTCAAAATTGAAACCTCCAGGAAATGACAGTGTACTGCCACTTCCAATTGTATAAATATGCTCTCGATGAATATTTCAAGGATACTGTCATCCATTTTCTTCTGTCTGTCCCTATTCCCCCTTTCGCGTAAACTAAACAGTAATAACTTTGAATACAAATGAAAAAAGAAAGTGCTTAATACCCTGATCTACATGGATGATATCAAAATAGTTGCCAAAGACGACAATGAATGTAAGGGTATCCAAAATACTGTAAAATGTTTCAGTGATGACATTGGTATGGATTTAGGATTAGATAAATGTGCAAAAGTGGCATTCAAGAAAGGAAGAATTACAGAAACATTCTCAATAGATCTAAAATTTTTTCACAAAAATTAGGGAAGTGGAACAAACAGAAGCCAATAAATTCCTAGGAGTCAGAAGAAGGGGATGGAATACAGCATTCCCAAATGGAGAAGAAAGTAATAAAAGAATACTACAGGCGTTTAGCGACTTGGATTCACAAAACAGAATATCAGTTATAAACACTTTGGCTATCCCTGTGGTACAATACAGTTTCTACATCCTTAATTTGTCCATAGCTGACATTAAGCGAATAGATGTTAAAACGAGAAGGCTTCTCACTTGCTATCGCATGCATCATCGTCTGTATGTGTCAAGATTCAAAGGAGACAGATGATTACTTCAACTGGAACTGTCTTACAAAACCACAACAATTGGTCTTCAAAGATACCTGGAAGCTACAGAAGACTGGATGATGATCTGTGTCAAAGAACATGAAAGAAATAAGAAATTTTATTCAGTAAAAAGAAAGCCAACAAATTCAAAAGAGAATTTCATATGGATGAAGAAGTGCAAATAAATCATAATACAACTACTGTAGCGACAAAGAAGCTAAAAAAGAAAGCAAAACCAAATGCAATATACAAAATGCAGAGATGATGACAAGATAAGTCTCTTTATGGTTAATACTCTGAACAAGCTGATGTCGACAAACCCATATCCATCAGTGGTTACGTGGTGCATGGTTAAAAGCTGAAACCGAATGTTTTATTCTTGCTGCACAGACTAATGCTTGCTAACTAGAAATAACCAAGCACACATACTGAAAAATTGTGTGAACCCGAAATGCAGATTCTGTGAAAAGTTGACCATCTTGTATCAGATTTCATGGTGTTAGCGCCCACTAAACTCGGCATGATAGAGTGAGACAATATCCTCAATGGAAAATATGCAACTTTTACGGGAACTAAACTGCAAGAAACTGGTATGAACATCACCCAGACACGGTTACAGAGATAGGACCTGTAACAATATTATGGGTCTTTACAATACGCACAGACAGAACAATCAAATTTAATTGCCCAGACAGAATGTGCTTATTGATATGACAGTCCCCGCAGATTGTAATATATCTTTGAAGATCTTAAAAAAAAAAAACTATCAAAATACAAGGAGCTTGGAGTGAAAATCTCAAAAATGTGTTAGACGAGGATATCAATAATCCCAGTTGTAGTTGGATCCCCCAGATTAATTGGAAAAGGTTTCAATAGACTCATTGAAGGGATTCTTGATAAGCCACGCCTTAAAGAAATACAAAAATTGTACTCATAAGTACAGCTCACACGAAAAGCTTTATGTAAAATGTGTGTAATCGTTGTGTTTTTTTCTTTTTACAAAAACGATTGGTGGAAAATGTCATGAACCCATTTCTGACCATATGTCTCCTGTTGGGACCCGGAAGGAAATGAGTAAACAACAGAAATCAAAAGAAACAATAATAGTAAATAACAATAAATACATTATAAATAAATATACCTTTTATTGGATTTGTTGACATCGTTGTTGGGAAGGACGTATATTGATGAGCAGTGCCAAGGGCATCGATATTTGTTTTTTATTTATTAGAAAATGATGTATACAGTAAATTTGATATACCGTTAGTCGTCAAATTATTGCGCAATGCTCTGGCGTTAAAAATCGGGTTTCTGTGAGTGCCTACTGCAAGTCTGACTTATTTTGGAAGGATTTATCACGAAGGTGGTTTTCCAGGGAATAGAAGAGGTAGCAATCACTTGGCGAAAAGTCCGGGGAGTAAGGTGGATGGTACAGTGTCTCACAGTTTGACTGAGGTAGTTGCATGTTTTTAACCAGTGTCAGACGTCTGTCTTCAAGACAAAAGCAAAGATTTTTAAATAAATGCTTCAAAACAAACGAATTTGGACACACGAAGGTGGATAATAGTTTGATAAAAGAAGAAAGAGGAATGAAGAAAGAGAATGAGAGAGAGAGAGAGAAATAGAGAGAGAAATAGAGAGTTAGAGGGGTGTTGGAGGAGGAAAGTGACAAAAGTGATAGAAGAAATGCTAAAAAAAAGTTGTGATAGTGAGGTAGAAAAATGAAAGAAAATTGAGAAAAATATAAAGGAAAAGGGAAAAATAAATGAAAAGAGAAAAAAGAAAAAAGAAATTTCAAAAGGAAGGAAGAGAAAAAAGAAAAAAAGAAAGAAAGAAAAATGAGCGAAAAGAGGAAGAAAAAAGGAATCAAATCATGTAAGAAAATTGGTTAAAGAGTTAAAAGAAAAAGACAAGATCAAATAAAAGTAATAAATGAAGACGTTGGTAAATGATAGTGACAGGAATTTCTTGTGGTTGTTGCCAAAATGACTGAAGGAAAAGAGAACCGATGAAGTTGCAATCTGATATTTCATCTCAAATATTAACACGCTTTTTTCCTTTTTCTCCTCCTTTTTTGCCTGTAAAATGTCAGTAACTTTCTGCGAAGACAAATATGTTGTCCCTTCATTTTGATGGCTTTCACTATGGCGGTAACGGGAAGAGTTTGTGGAGGAAGACGAGTTGGGCTTCTGCGAGGACTTATTGCCGGTCTGTGGCGGGTGTAATCTGATCATCGACGAAGCTAATTGTGGCAATGATACACTGCTAATACCTAATTGTCAACGATATAAAATCACGGGCCAAGGTGAAAGCGTATTTGTGGTTGGGGCATTGTGAGGTGTTAGTTTTGTGTTTATTTCCTTGTCGACGCTGCCGTTAGCGACTTAATTATCTGGAGGGTGGGGAAGAATGAAAACAAGACGGTATCAACTTCTGCCAGGAAGTGTCGCGCCGACAGGATCGCGGTGTCAGCACATGCTATTGACAACGGCTCGCGTTTGTGATATTAATCGTGTAGTCCTAATATCGTGTTAATATCCAGTCACTGAATTATATCAGAATGTTAATCGAAGTGACACTTTAGAAAAACGAACATACGCAGGACAAAGAGAAAAACAACTTTCAGAGGAAAAACAAAAAGACAAAACCGCGAATTCATGACAAAACAGAAATAAATAAGCCAGAGACGATAAAATTTCGGCTTCTTGCTTGTCGTCTGACGAGTTATCGGATCTCCAGATTTTACTGCTTGTTGTAACTGATATTTGCGCTCAGTTCAATCGTCTTTGGGCCGAGGGAAAGATTTATAAGTCATAAGATTTATAAATCTGATTCTAGTTTTCATTATTTCATAGGTTTTCAGACAATTTTCTTCATTTTTCTTGTTTTTAATATAAAATTCGAGCCGATATATTCTTCAACCTATCGAGTATTTTTAGTACTCCCTACATTTTTAAAAACGGTTTTCTACACCGTATTCAGTTATTAGCTTTCAAGGAGTGAACTTGGGGAACATTTTTTAATTACCACGTCTTTCCCAGATGTCTGCGATTATGATTTCTTACAAATTCCTTCTCTTTATTAATTATTTATTTATTTTATTTTTCTCTTCCAGTTTTTCTGTTCTCTTTTCGTCGAATTATAGTTTGTTTTTATTCCTATCGTTCAAATCAGTAATTTTCTATTTCCAGCTCATGTTTATCTGTTGTTTTCTCTGCTATTTCAGGACACCTCACAGTGGAGCAATGACTTTACATTAGGTTCAATCCTCAGTGCATGCTCTACTAAGATGGTTTTAATAAATAATAACAAGTTTTTGTTACTTAAAAATATATTTCCTCACATATTCTATTACTGATTCTTTTTTGCTGCCTACAATTCCACAAGAAGCTGATTTTTGCTCGTCGCTTATGACAAGATTTCCAAAAAATTACAAATGGTTTTAAAATGAAATTAGAAATTCTATCGGTAAATTTTATTTTTTTATATAAAAAATTACGTAAACTTTAACTGAATTATAAAAATGTATGAAAGGTATTTGACATTCAATCAGAGGAAACTTTACTGTACATGTGGGAACAGACACTCTAACGTAGGGGGTTACTTAGTCGGAAGGGACACACCACTGATTGAATATGTATATTTTGTGACCACCGCATTCTCAAAGACAGTCATGTTTCAAGCATTCCTTTCTTTCTTTCTTTCTTTCTTTCTTTCTTTCTTTCTTTCTAAAACAATCGATCGGATAGATTTGGTTCCTTTAAACTTCAGGCTAAAAATCGCTTTAGTGGTCCAGCAAAATTCATATCTTGCCCACGGCTTATCAGTGCTTGGCCATGCCTGATAATTTATAGGTGGTGATTTTGCTGCTGAAATATAATCATTGGATTTGTCTGTCTAACTTTAGCCAATAAACGTAGCTTCTCACTAGGGACTTCACTATTTCCGGATATCCTACGTGAAATTGTTTCAAAATCCTTTTTCTTTTTCTGTAGTGATAATGGAATTACTACTCTTTCCACGTACAAAAATATTCCATCACAAATAGAAAATTCTGTATTATTGTTACCAGGTTTAATTTTAGTTTTACTCCATTTGACTTAACGTCATTCGTATATTTTTGAGTAAACATATCCCTTTTAGAACAAATTTTGATATCGTCTATCGTGACCGGCAATTCTTTAAATGTGTTACACATAAGGCTTTTAATTTCGCTTCTGGATTCCATCGAAGCAATCACAGTATTTTCTATCATTACATTTTCGATATCAATCTATCTTTGACGATAGAAATTCCATCTTGAAATCAAGTTCAATAAAACCGTAGACCAACGCTGTAGTTTGTTTACTAATGCAAACAAACTACAGCGTTGGTCTACGATTTTGTGTGGGAATCCCTTTCTTAGAACTGAATATACTTAATAATAATCCACTTCAATTTAAATATATGCCCCAGACAGGTCAATTTAAAAAAAAAAGAAAATTGCCACCATTTAATTTCGGAAATATATCCTCTGTAGTTAGTAGGGGATATATACATGTAGGAGGAGGCAGTCATTCAGCACAGTCAAAAAAATCTGTACATAAATGAATCTCATTATTTCTCTTTTGGGTGTGGCCCATTCTGAATAATCTATTTTTTAAATAACTTTGTGGTTTTCTAAACTATCAAGTTCGGTGTTAATAGATTCCAACGTAGCAAAGAGTATATTTCTTTTAGGCTTAAAAACTGGTACCTCATTTTTCTTTTAATTTAAAAAATGCTTTTGACTTTGTACATTTTCCCAACTGATCTGCGAAATTATTCGTTTAATTTATTTTTTAGCTTACTCAGAGTTTCTTTAGCTGTAATCTTTTTTCTGAAGAACAATTAATATTTCCACAGAATGAATTAAACGGCCAGCTGCACAGTCCAAATAATTCTAGCCAATTGATGCCTAGTAAATTCGAGTTGGAATTTTTTAATACGTAAACATCTGCTTTTTAGCATTACCCGCAAGAACGACGTTACACGTAATTTTTCCAAGAAAAAATAATTTTTTGCCTTGAAACATTCAAGTTAGACTTGACAATTCTGTTCCAGGTTTACTCATCAATAATTGTAATATTGACAACAGTGTCCAATATAAATCTCACTGTAGGTTTATTCATGTTGCGAATTTATTCATGTTGCGAATTTTCTTATTATTTAAACTTCGCAGTTTTTAGCTGGTAGCACTACTTTCAGCAAGTTAATTTGTGTATTTCTGTTGCTTTTCAACTTGCAGTAGCTTCGTTTATGACCTGTTTTTCGATAATTAAAACATTTTTTTGATTTAAATGGACAATCCTTTCTGAAATGAAGCATACCACAGCCATAGAATGGGTTAAGCTTTGCAATAATTTGATTTTTGATTTTTTGTTTTGGTACTACTGTTTCTTTTCGAACTACTTGTACTTCTGACGTGCCATTTTGTTCGATTTCTGCCTTAAATTGACAATTTTTTGGCACTCTTCTACAACATACTCTATCATTAACTTTGAATCTTGTTTAAAGTTTGTAAGTTTTCAAGAGTGTATTTATGCATCGTTGTTTGATGTTAGACCTTTAACGAAGATTGGGCATTTAAATCTGTCTGGGGATAGTTCGTCCAATTTAAATTTCTAACACTCACCATTGACTTTACCGGTACATGTGACAAAATATTCATCTTCGTCCTTAGTAAGGTTCATGCACTGCCACCGTGTATAAAAGAAGTGAATTCTTTTCACCAAAAGTTTTTGATAGTATCTACACTGCTTTGTAAAATGAAACTTTTTTTGGAGTATTTGTCAAAATGAATTTCAGATATTTTTCATGTTCAGCAGGACACAATTTTCGTAACAGAAGACGAACTTTCTTTTCATCCGACCATTCTTAACATTTTTCCCTGAAAATGGCCTCGTACGTTCTGAAGCACAATAGCAATGTATTGTTTTCTTCTGGAACATAATTCATTAATTGAGTTGACGAAAATAAAATTGACGCTTTGCTAGTTCCTTCCTTTTCCAGGATTGCTTTTAACTGTTCTCGATGTTCAATCCGCTCCCGTTGCATTTGTTGTAATAATTTCAACTGGAATTCTTCCATAGTGTATTATTTTGGTACAATTAGTCATTAACTAGGAAGAAAAGTTTTTTCTTTTTCTCTTTCATGTGAATTTGAATCCTTGTAGCCACTCTTATGTTTTCTATTTCTATCGATAAGTGATGCTCTGAAATGACTTGTGTTCTGGCACTAGAGATAATGTTGTGATGGCTGTGCCTTCTGTTACTTTATTTTGTGTAGTTATAAGTCTACATAATGCATCGGCATGGCCAATTGTATAGGTTGGATTATATTTTATAGGAAAATTGTAATCTAATAACATAGTAGCCCATTTTTGCAGACAGTTTGCTGTAAACACTTGGATGCCTTTTTAGATCCAAAAATACTAACAAGAGCTTGTGATCTATGATCAGATCAGGGTGGAATGACGCCCATACAGCGTTTTGTAGGACTTTTTAATAACAAAAACTATTGCTAATGCTTCTTTTTCAATTCGGCTATAATTACGTTCTGAAGGTGTCAGTGACATGGATGCATGAGGTTTTGACTTTTGACTGCCATCAGGAAAAATGTGAGAAATGACAGCTTCAATATTATAATTGGAAGTATCAGCGACCACCACAATATAGATGGGTCGTAGTGTGTCAGCAAATGATTGGAAGAAAGTAAGGCCTTTATGTTTTTGACTATTCCCATGAAGCATCTTTTTAAATAGATTGTTGACGGCTGCACGAACCCGATGAAGTTCAAACGAAAAAGCACAGTAGTGGCCAAGGAAAAACGTAATTTTGTTACATTTGTCGGTTCTGGCATGATTTCCGTGTTTGGTCGTCTTCCATTTTTGTGGAAAATAAACCCAAGATATTTCCTTTGTTCTTGGAAAAATTCACACTTTTCAGCTTTAACATGGAACCCGTATTATTGAATTTGACTGAAAACAGAAAATAAACGTTGCAAAAGTTATTTTTGAGTTGCACCTGCACAAATGTTATCGATGAATGCTACAACTCCTGTCAATCTGAAATGTTGCTGGTGCTGCCCCAAAGCTAAGTCGGTTAAATCTGAATAATCCCTTGTGGGTGTTGGTAGTAAGTAGTTCTTTAGACTCCTTGTCAATTTCCACTTGAAGAAAAGCATCATAAATATGGAAATATCAACTTTGCAAAGC